CACCCCCTCCCCCCTCTATGTCTCTCTCTCTCTCTCTCTATCACCCCTCCCCTCTCTCTCTCTCTCTCTCTCTCTCTCTCTGTCTATCTCTATCTCTCCCTGCTGTTTATGCCCAATAGCCTTGCCCTTTTCTTACATTTTTACATGTCCATATGCTTCTGTTTCTATTTCCTTAATTTTTGTTGGAGGACTTGTAAGAGATATCTGTTTGTGTCCCTTTAAAAGTTTGTAAAAAATGCATGTACTGTTCTTTGCAGATGGTCGCTTTAAATATAAGTGCCCATTGCGAAAGGATTTGTCAAATCTGTATTTGCTGTGGTTTGATAATGTGAGGTATGGTCCTGACATGTAGGCCTATACTCTACATCAAATGTTACATCAAACTTAACCTGGAAATTCGTTAAGGCCTATCACGTTCCATGCGCAAACAAAACACCTGGTCCTGCAATGCATAGTATAGCTTCTGTTTGGTTGTTTTCATCAAACATAATATACACTTTTGTGATACGACATGGTGGAATCGCGTGCTCTTCAATTTTTGAGCATGTAGAGTTGTGGGTATTGTTTTAAAGTGTGTTTATTTGCCTTGATTTTTATGCCCCCAAAAAATACTGTCATTTATCTTGAACTGAAGCCAATATTTCCGCAAGTGAAGGAAGCTAGGTCACCTCATGTCAGATGTGAAAACAGGAAGAAAATGGCCGCCAAACCCTGGAAACAGCAAATTTACATTTTGTGGGCCTTTGATCAATGGTTTAGTTTTTTTTCTCCGTAAAACCCATACCAAAATGTGTTCTAAATAGAAATAAAAAGTACTGAGCCCCAAGGACCCAATACTAAATCTTAGTACTTCCCAGATTGAGCCCCATAAGATGATAAAAATTGCCCAACAGGGGCGAAAAAAATTTTGGTTTCTTCAAGTTCGATATTTTGATGAGCACCAGATTTCACGATGCTGCACAAAGGATGACCATGAAAACGTAGACTTGGCTGCCCTCAAATATTCCGAGCGTACTTAATGAAGGTTTGTCAAAACTTTTTGCAATGCGTACTGGGTATGAGCGCTTTCATATGGTCTTCTCTCCCTCTTTCTTCCCTGTTTTTTTATTCAAACCTGAAGGCAAGGTGTTTTTTTCGTTTTAATAGAGGTTTTACGGTGCTCGCAATTGCATATGGTCATATGAGCGCCAAGGGGTGGATGTCAACAGAGAAGTCCTTACAGGGAATTGGACTTACTCTGCTCACCTCACCTCTCAAGCTTCAACAACACAAAATTTGCTTCGTCTATCAAGGCACCCCAGAAACAGCAGGTCACAAGAGTGTGACTAACATACAAAAGAAGTATAGGAAAATGACGATAGTAAGGATTGAGAAAGAAAAATCAGCAGTTCCCTGTTGCAGTTCAGGCACAATTATGAGCATGATATTGATGAACCAGCCCATTTACAATTACAATTCCACTGTGCATAAGAACTCAAGATGTTAATGTCCCCCCTTTGGGAATGGCCTAAAGACAGTTCAGTCAGTAGCACCGCCCCAGGGGGTGGGCAAGGTGTAGTTGGTATTAAGCTATATGCAAGACAACAATTTCTTAATGAATTATTTATTTATAAAAACATAATGTTTCCTTCCCTTTCAAGAGATCCGAACCAGCAACCATCACACGAGAGTGGGGTGCCCTCAAGCGTTCTCCCCGCTGAGATCCATGTCCCCCACTCAGACTTTGACGAAGAGGCTCTCAATGCTGCCGTGAGAGAGGAGCAGTGTCTACGCAGTGAACTTTCACCTTCACCCACTGCAGGGGTTAGTCATGCTCTTTTTCTTTGGCCTCATTGGCCCGGTGGTTAGGTTCTCCGAAACGCAACCTTTAGGTCGTGGGTTTGATTCCTATCAGGGGCCTGATGATGTGTCCTTGGGAAAGGCTCTTTACACGATTTCTCCTCTTCAATCAAGTAGGAATGGGTATCCAGTTATAGACAATGAAAGATCTTGTCCATTTGTTAATGCTTGAGCGCTTAGTCAGCTGCTTGCCTTGTGTATTTCCTGGGGAGCCAAAAACATTTCTGAATGTTCTAGTGTCTGTTTAAGTAATAAAATGGATTGTAAAGCACATAGAGCTTTTATGTGGAGATTTTCTCTTTCCGCTCAGTTGCCTTGAAGAGTGTTTGTTCGTGTCTTGTATCAAAGTGAAGAAAGTTGCTGTGATATCAACAAGTACTGGGTTATGAAAAAAACAAACCCATTGTCAACATTTTCATAAGGGTGGTCAGATACCTGTCATTCAGGCACAGCGATGGAGGTCAGAGGGTCAATCCTGTTGGGTTAAAAGTTCTGCTTGATATAAAAAGATAAATGATAAATGATGTAAAATACTACTTTGTTAATCCTCATTGAGAAATTTGGTTTCTATGGTAAATGCAGAACATTACAGCAACTGCAACAAACCTGCACTTATCACTACATGGCATTGGACAGAAGGGCAAAAGCCCAGCTGTTACTGGATCGGTAACAACACCAACAACATGGTAAATGCAATGTGTACATAACGCAAATCAGCAGCATCATAATATGATACACTATATCACTCCTGTACATAATAATGCTGTCCCCAGGATCATCGGCCTGACCAAGGTTTTGTCAGTCAACTACAAGCTCGGCCCAAAAGCCAGGGGGACCACCCAGATTCGCATATTGAAGTGTCATCAGCAGTAGTTCCTGGAGGGAGGTCTCCCACACCGGCTCATCTGCGGGCCATCCCTTTACAACAACTCAGCCAATCAGAGCCATGGCAGTTTTCTCTAGAGGAGGAGTTTCATGTATGTACACAATGTAGTCTTGGACAAATTGTGTGATCTTACCTTACGAAATGAGACAATTTGCGTAATCTGTAAAAATATTGTAAAAGAAAAGCAACCTTCACATAACATTCCACTTGGTTTCCCAGAAATGATGGTTTGTCCGTTCAAATACCTATCTGTTACACTCAATTACACCGACGACAGTTATAGCAGCAAACGTTGGTCATTTGGCAAATTTAAGAAATAGCCCAGTTTTTGTAGCGCCTTCTGTTAATCGTTTTAAAAAAACATGTGCCTTTACTCTCAAACAAAAATGTTCACTTTTGATTCACAAACATTCTGAAAAATTGATTAGGTCTGCAAGTTCATTCAAATGCACTTATTTCAATATGAGTATTGTATCCCTAGTCTGGATGTGAAGTCTCACGGGTGACTAGAGCAATACATAAAATGTGGTCATTATTGTCTTCAAGTACAAGATATAACCCTTTTCTACCTTTTGTACATCATAAGAGTAACATTTTCTCACCTGTTTTGAACATACTCGTGCTACATCTAACTTGCTTTGCTTCCCCATTCATCTCCTCCTCTTCTCCTTCTCCTCCTACTCCTCCTCCTCCTCCTCCTCCTCCTCTTTGTCCTCTTCCTCCTCTTCTTCTTTTTCTTCTTCTTCTTCTTCTTCTTCTTCTTCTTCTTCTTCTTCTTCTTCTTCTTCTTCTTCTTCTTCTTCTTCTTCTTCTTCTTCTTCTTCTTCTTCTTCTTCTTCTTCTTCTTCTTTTTTTCTTCTTCTTCTTCTTCTATTCCTCCTCCTCCTCCTCCTCCTCCTCCTCCTCCTCCTCCTCCTCCTCCTCCTCCCCCTCCTCCTCCACCTCCTCCTCTTTCTCCTCCTCCTATAATGATCTTATCTTAGAACATAGTTATGATCCTCTTACTTTAAAAAAACAACTCTCCAAGCTTGTGGTTCTGTTCCGAGCCTCCCTCCCTCCCTCTCATTTCTCAAAGCTCTCCTGTAAGTGCCAAATAATCCCAGATTTCAAATCTTTCTCTCACAGGATCCGGAAGAATCCAAGAAGACTGACCACTTTAGTGATGTCCAGCTGATTCCTGAGCAGTCTTGTCCTGAGTGTAGATCTGCCATTATGTCCACTAGGGTCAGTGAAGTGACATTTTTCCAAAAATTACGCTATTCAACTATTATAAGTTATTACTGTTGATATACTTGTAATAGGAATTTTCTCAAAGGTAAAGATCTAGAGCATGCTTCTGGTAAATATTGATATGAAATATGTAAGAAAAAAAATGTGGGTATCTTCCTATTCTGCATCTCATGGGGGGCAAAGTGCTAATGTCACAAGTAGATATATGTAATAAATACTAAAAATTGGTATGTTCAACTGACCACCATCTGGGTAGCGGACGTATCTGGGGTAATAGTATAGCTCTTTACTGTTGTCTTTGTGAGAGGTTTTAGTTCAATTCCTGTGGGGGGGAAGTCATTTTTTTTCATATCTCAGACTGTTGGGGTGCCTGGGTTATCTTTGAAATGATTGAGATCAGTGCTTGCTAGCCTGAGTGATATCGCTCACATGTGGGTGAGTAGGTAATTTTGAAGGGGCACTGGGATCAGTGAAAAATATTACTTCATGCCCTGCTTGGAAATACGTAAAATTAAGTAGGTTGGCGGCACACGGGTGCTCCGGTGTGGTTTGCTCTTTCTTTCCTATCAAACATCTATCGTCCTTATCTCTCCTTTTTCTTTTTTGTGTTTGTTACTCTCTTGTAACTCCTCTAATCTTCGGCACTTATATGACCTTATTGTTTTGCAAGTGCGATAAAACTCTTAATAAAACAATAACAAAAACTTTTGCCATTTTATAGTTGGTAAAAGTTGGAGCTGACTATAAAAAGGTTGACAAGCACTGCTCTAAATTGTACCAATTGAGGCATAAAACATTTACGAAAAATGATTCTTCCAGGTGGAGAGGTCCGCTGGTCGTATGCCCAGCCGCTCACAAAGCGCTAACACACAGATGCTGGCCTTCAGCCGCAGGTACAATGAGGCCATGAGACGAGCTCCCCCTCTCCGCACACCTCCGTCAATTCCTACACCGCAACCCAGTGCTAAAAAGACTTCACGTCGGAGTGGACAGATTTTATTCGAATTAGAACATCAAGCCAGGAAAACCAGAAGTCCAAGAAATTTTATGCAAAAAAGTGAGTGAGTTTATTTAACGCTCAGTTTGTGGACGCACATAAAACATTTTTTTACCATTTTGTCTTTTCGACACATCTTTTGTTTTTACTGTTTCTTTCTTCTTTTTTTAAATTGCTCTGTGCTTTGCGGATTTTTTTTCTTTTTATTACTTAACTTTTTCTCTTCGGTTTTTTGCAAAACAGCACAGCTTGTCTTTACGACCACCTGTCCAAGACAATCACCTGTACAAACATTCACTTCCCACCTCCCTCATTCGGTTTTTCTTCATTATATACATTGTCTTAATAGACCTCCTGTCTAAGACGATAACTTTTCTCCTCGATAATTATGGTGGCCATCTTTGACAGGTTCAACTCTTATTTGATTTATATTCTCTTCTTTTTTTCTGCAATTTTTACATAATAGTATCTTGCCCTCTTTTATCTCATCATTACTGACGAAAGAAAAATGAGTAATTATAAACTTTTTTGATCAACCCGTAAAGCTGGTTCAAACAAAATTAAGAATGCTTCTTTTGATGGCAATGTTGCTTTTCTTTTCTTTTCTTTCTTTCATATGGTGTCTGATGTGTTTTCCTGAATGAACAACCATAAATTTACATTTCACGATGATTGTGTAACTTCTGGTAGTCTAATGTATCAGTGAAGGTTCTTTTTCTACAATCTCTCTCTCTCTCTCTCTCTCTCTCTCTCTCTCTCTCTCTCTCTCTCTCTCTCTCTCTCTCTCTCTCTCTCTCTCTCTCTCTCTCTCTCCCTCTTTCTTTCTTTATTAATCCTCACTCCTTCATTCTCCCTCTTTTTCTCTCTGTCTCTCTCTCTTTCTTTCTCTCTCTGTGTCTATCTCTCCTCCTTTCTTTCTCTCTGACTCTGTTTTGGTTGGCATGTGTTGCATGTTGAAAACCAGTGTCTCCTACAATGTTTTTCTCATTCTAACACTTTCAGAAGCATACTCTTTTCAATGTCATGTTAGACTTTATTTCATTTTGCTTCTCCTCACTTAACACTAAATTATTTGTATGCATACATATTAGAAACTTCACCTCCAGTACGGAGACGGAGATGTGAGTTGAAAAGTCGATTTATTTTATATTTTTGTAGAAATATTTAAGCTTAGGCTTCACGCCATGTTGGCCTAGTTCATAGGCTTGTATATTATATAATTGTTTCAATTTTATTTTAAAATTGTACCTGCTAGCACTGATGTCGCTGTTATTTCATACCTCATTATATATTTGTTTTAGTTTGTTGTAGGATCTTGGAAGAATAGTTTTACAAACTTAAAAGATGTTATTTTTTTAAAGAATATATTGGTCTTTCTGTTGGAGTACATCCAACATGTCCTGGTCTCAGCAAAATGGGCGATGTCAAAGCAGCTGACTCATGAATTTTCTTTATTGTGTGGATATTAACAATTTACAAAACCTGTGTTATTATAATGTTTAGTGAGTGCGTGGTTGGTTGGTGGGCGTAGCTGTTGAGTCCTGCTTCTTTACTTTCCTTTTATTGTTTCTGTCTTCTTTGCTTTTTCCCAGTACTAAACGGCTGTTATTGGGTCAATGTGCTTCCCTTTACACAAAGTAGAGTAAAATGTGTTGTGGAGTTTTTTCCTTAGCCCCTGTCTCTCTCTTCCCTCCCCTCCCCCCTCCCGGCTTAGAGGAATGTTTGGTCAGAAAGCGACCCTCTGTCTAGCGGCAGGAGGTACAAGCCCAACTTTGTAGAATTATGCCTAAAAATATACGGTCGCTTTTGAGCACAAAGGGGCTATCCCGAAAAATGTTGTTTTAAGAAAATCGAAGGTAAAGTCGTTGCCCCTTGTTCAGTTTCTTTTAAAGACAAGGAGAGTTTTCTCTATATCCAAACAAATATACACACCAATGAAACCAAACTTCTTTTATAGGTAAGGCAATGCCCTCTTTTGGTGTAGGTCAAGATTTCTAGAAACCCCCGAAATCTGGGTTAGCCCGCTTGTCCTTAAAAGCAACCGTATACTGTGATGTGCATGTTGTCATATTTTCTCTAGTGTAATGTCTCTGCCTTGTTTTTTTAACCTCTTCCTTCTTCTCTTCTTTGACCTCAAGGTAAGTGTTTAGACTCTGGAAATCTATGGTGCCTTATTGTGTCCGGTAGAAAATATTACTCGTACAAAAGCTTAAAATTTGTTCCTAGGAAAACTCATTTACATGACTGCTTCAGGTACTGTTTGAAGGAAATGTAGTAGTGCATAAATCGACTTGAGTTTTAATTGTATATCTAGTGTAGTATGTAGTGGTGTCTGTATTTGTGTGTATATGGAAGGAGGAAAAACGTTTGACGTCAACTAAGGTACAATGATGCCTGCTCTAGGTACATGACTTATGTGGAGAGCAACTCTGGCACAAGGAAACTGGAAAAATTAAGGTCATTCTCAAGATGAAAGAGAAAGCATAGGAGGAAATATAGAATGTCCAAAAGAGGCACAATTAGACAAATTAGGAGAGCACTTGGCATTTGATCATTCTTTCTCACATCAACACCAACATTTTCTGGCATGCTTTGGCCCAATTCTACGCATGTGCCCTTTTCACAGAACATGTAATGTAGACTAACAGAGCAAGTACACTGTCGTCTGAACTGATGAAGCAGTACTTACTGTGATATTTTTGTCCCTTTGTGCCCAAAATACAAAAGTGATCTGTAAAGTGGCGTTGCTGTTTGCATAATTAGTGTGATTACCAGAATGCAGGATTTTACCTTTGATTGGTGGAAGCAGTGAGAACAAGGTACGGCTCTGGACTGGTTCATACCCCCTCCCCCCTTCCCCCTACCTCAACCAATATTGGAGATTCCTCCTCAAGGTCCTGCTGCTAATGAATTTGATTATTAGATAGTTTGTGATGCTTTGTGCTGGTTCAACATTGTTGCTCGCTTTAGTGAAGCTGGTTAAATTTTGGTAAAGGTGTCTTGCTCAGGGACATAGCCCAGTGATCTCCCATTTGTTTGACTTTTTTTTTTCGTTGGAGTTCTCCATGGCACTACTTGACAGTGGTGATCCCAGTTTCAGTTCATTTCAAGAGCAGTTGTTGAATGATGTATTTTGTTGGGTTCTTTTTAATGAAAAGAAGAACATTGACATGGTAGCAGTCTTTTAATGACACTTAGAAAGAGCAAGACAAATAAACAGAATTAAAACAGGGAAAGTAAAGAAGTAGGACCTTGCAGTTGCGCCCCTCCATCAACCACTTTCTATTTAATGATTAAATTAGTGAAAGAAAGGTTACATAAATGAGAAAATAAATAGTGGATGTAAAGTTTTATTAGATCACTGGACGACCAAATCTAGCAATGCTTAAGATGTATGTATATCCTTTATCTTATCTCTGTGGGTGGTTGGTGGTACTCTGGTGTGGTTTGCTCCTTCTTTCCTATCAAACATCTATCGTCCTGATCTCTCCTTCTTTTTTATGTTTGTTACTCTCGTGTAACACCTCTAATCTTCAGCACTTATATGACCTTATTGTGTTGCAAGTGCCGTAAAACTCTTACTAAAACTATCTTATCTGTGTCGTCAGTCCAAGATCTGCGCAGCGTGGACACGTCTCGCCCGGGCTCCCTGGCCAGCACAATGACCCCTGACCCCATCGTGGGCATGTCCCTCCATGTGTGCAAGCTGCCCGTCTCCAGCAGGGGGCGCACCTCACAAATTTCATCTGATATGGACTTTGGTATGTCAGTCTAATGCTCTTTTGGGTCTCACACCATCTATGGTGCAATGGTTTGTCTCTTTGCAGTGGCACGCTGAAGACGTTTTTGCATATGGAGGTTATGTTATCAAAGCATCTCTGTCAGTCTGGTGGGATGCTGTATCCCACTCGCTGCTCTGAACACCAGTTTATAGTACACCGTCTTTAGAATAACCTGCAAATATCGCCACTTGGCTATTAGACAATTGTAACAGATTTCTAGATATCACTAGATTACTACTTGACCCACAAGATAGAGATCTAAGGATGAGGCTTCTATGCACTTTGCTAGTGGGTATTCCCAATGCATCCCAATACTGCCCAGAAGGAATTTCTTGAAGGGAAAAGAGTCAAATGAAGACCTTAGTTTGTGTAAATTGACAATGTCAACTAATAATAAGCAACCACATTGCAGGGAGATAAATAAATGAATTTATATGTATATGAATATATAGATGTGCACACACACAGTCAAATCTGCTGTAACGGAAACTTGTCGGAGACATAAGCCTGTCATAATTGAATATCCCCTCTCCCCCCTTGATAAACTCCCCTATAATACACCTGTCTAAGACAGAAACTTCAGGAGGGTTTTCTCCTGTCAAAGATAGAAAATGTTTTTCTCACTGAGCCCTGATTTGAAACTAAATTCCCAAGTTTAGTTTCATCAATGCTAACCTTTACATCACGCCGCCAGGCGAAGAAGGAGAGGAAGGATGCTGTGTGATGGGTAGCTGTTACTCTTTTCATGTAAGCTTTAAGCTGTGCAAAATTATCTTACTTTATTTACTTACTTTTATCTGCCGCTTATACCCTTTTGGGTGTCGCGGGAAGAAACAGACGTCTCTCTGCCACAAGCTGGAGAGCTTGGGTCAGGGGGATGCCGTGAGTTGTTAATGTTTCGCTGACTCCATCCATCCAGGTCTTTCTCGGTCGCCGTCTAGCCTTGTTGCCATCGAATTTTTTTATGTAGGCACGTTGTGCTGGATGTTGTGTTGGTAATCGCATGAAATGTCCGAACCATTTGATTCTTTGGTGTTGGATGTGATGCATGACATCATTTGTGCCCACTATTTCTCTGATTACTGAGTTTCTAATGTTGTCTCACCTGGTCTTGTTTACAGCTTTTCTAAGACTTCGCATTTTACATGTTGGAATTCTTTTCTCCAATGTCTTGTTCGTTGTCCATTATTGCAATATGATCAGAGTGGTAAAAGTTTGAAGTGTCATGACCACTTGTGAAAGTGCTTGAGTGATGCTCCTGCATGAAAACTGTCCTGGGTAGCCAGAGGTGTGAAATTCATTTGACCACTGCCTGCCAACCCAGATCGTACTGCCTGCTGAGAAAAAAAGTTCCTCAAATCAGTGTTAGATGCAGGGCAGAGGTGGCATTGGCTGATTATGCTTATTACATTGGTGAGTGGGGCTACGGGTGAAAACAAAGGAGATGTTCAATCATTTCTGTTTTTGATTGGTCAAACAGTGATCCAATGAAATGCAAGCACTGGTGGCAATGGATAAGTAAGTCTGACACAAGCCTTTATCAAAGGCTGGGATAGCACTTGAGAGGCGGGAAGTTTAGAGCAGTGCTTGCCAACTGGACAGGCAACCATTGATCCCACTGTGAACTGGCTGGCCTTCGGGAACTCCTCTCCCCCTAATTTCCTCTGACCAAGACAGAAAATGAAAATGTCTTTGATGAAATTATTTTCCCTTGCCATTCCGTCTTAAACAAACTCAACTGTATGTATGGAAATATTGTGTATACACAGTATGCTGCCAAATAAATGTTTACAGTCAATTTGTGTGGATGGTTGGCGGGTGCTCTGGTGTGGTCTGCTTCTTCTTTCCTATCAAACATCTATCGTCTTTATCTCCCCTCCTTCTTTGTTGTGTTTGATACTCTCTTGTAACAACTCTAATCTTCTGCCGCTCATATGACCGTATGCAGTTGCGAGCGCCATGAAACCTCTACTAAACTAAAAACAGTCAATTTGTTTTCTAATTTCCTACTTTCTTTGTTTTCTTACACAGAGCTCCAAACACCCAAGTACCTGTCTGATGCGCCATACTTCATGTCAAGAGAGCAGAGTTCTTTACAAGCCATTGATGAAGGTCTTGACCAGTTCCGCAGTGACCACGTCGTGTCCTTCTCCGATCTCCAGCACCCTCAGTCCAAGCCCATGACCGCTCCAGCCATGGCGGGCCGCAACAGCCTGCCCCTTCCTGAGGAGCTCTCCTTACAGCGGAACGCGACATTTACCAGCATCGGCTCTCGCCAGACTGGACGGAGTGGCGTGGTAGACGGACAATCTGGCCCACCACCAACACGGAACATTGCCAGGATTGGACGTCCAATCGCCCAGGTTTCCCAAGTGCCAGATCCTGTAAGCTCCTCCCACTCCTGTCTCCTCCTCCTCCCACTCCTGTCTCCTCCTCCTCCCACTCCTGTCTCCTCCTCCTCCCACTCCTGTCTCCTCCTCCTCCCCTTGTTCACTCCCTTGGAATCATTCTTAAGGTTCTTTGTTTTATGTTTGTTATGACTTTTACTGGTGTGTGAGTTAGATAATAATAGATTATTCTCATAATTCTCATTTTAAGATTATGGAGTGGACTGTGTTTTCCAGAAAATATCCCTTTTTTTGTGGTCTGTCACGGTAGTCACCGTATTGTACCTTACTCTTTTTACTCACGGGACGTAAGCGCCCTGTATGCCATGGGCTCTTGGTTAATGTTACTCACTTCGGGGATCTACATAAAAAGTCAGACACTACACCCGGGCTCATTATTAGAATGCTTGCTGTCGTGTGTGTTCGTCTCTCAAGTTTTACAGTCGTGTGTGTAGACTAACATTACAGTCTACCATTAGTATGCCGTGTGGGAAGGAAGAAATGTCTGTCTGCTGCTAGTTGGAAAGCCTGACTTCATGAGATATTATACAATACCAGGGTCTTTCTGACTCCAGAGCTTTTGGTATCATGTATCAGTGTTTTTCTCAGGAGAAGCAAGGGGAATTAAATTGCTGGTTGATGCGGATTTAATTTTATTTACTTGGTTGTTGCCCTTGCTTTTTATCCAATAATGGGATTTCTACCTTTCAACTCAGTCCCATGGAGTGACAGGGGCAGGTCTTGACAAATTGTTAGCAGCTTGCACCTTACAGGCTGCAAAGTTGCTGATATTTCATAGAACTGAAATGGCGTCTTAGAATGAAGAAGCTGGCCAAAGTGGTTTTAGTGAAAGATGTCAGCTTTCTGGGAGGTTACAACAAGAAATAACACTTTAGATAAAATGATGGATTAGACACAGATTAAGAAAAGCAATGCTAAGTGCATGAATAACCAGAAAGGATTAAATGGAATCCCACGGATGAGAGAAACAGCGAAAGGCCAAGAATAGTTTGAGGGAGAAAGAAAATAGAAAAAGCACAAGGCAGACATCATTCTCTCTCTCTCTCTCTCTCTCTCTCTCTCTCTCTCTCTCTCTCTCTCTCTCTCTCTCTCTCTCTCTCTCTCTCTCTCTCTCTCTCCCGTCTCTCTCTCTGTCTATAGATAAATGCAGGTGTTAAATGCGCCTCCATCGACACAATGGAGATCATTTCGAAAGCTGTCTCCGAACTAGCCTGTCGGGGCCAACATGTGTTGAGAAGGATATTACATCCCAGCAGAATGACCGAGACACCCGATAGTGGGTGGTTGGCGGGTGCTCTGATGTGGTTTGCTCCTTCTTTCCTATCAAACATCTATCGTCCTGATCTCCCCTCCTTCTTTTTTGTGTTTGTTACTCTCTTGTAACACCTCTAATCTTCGGCACTTATATTATGACCTTATTGTGTTGCAGGTGCCGTAAAACTCTTACTAAAAAGATATATTTGAAAATGAACCAGCTTGTATCAATGGCCTAATTACTGCGTGGCGATTAAAAAATTTATCTGCTTAACTGGTTCAAGAGGGATCGGATATTTGGTGAACTGGTCCGAAAGGGAGAGAGAGGGAGAGGGAGAGGGAGAGAGAGAGAGAGGG